GACTTGCCTGATGCATTCCCACCCCCGCCCACCCCCACCTCACACTGGCCCAGCTGCATGGAGTCAGGTTGTGTGGAAGTGCTCCATCCAGCCCACCGCCCACCGCAGCCATTCAGCCAAGCCGACCCCAGGGGACCCTCCCCTGCTTTATGAGCATTTCCAAGGAAATTTGCTTATGAAAGCCAAAGAAAGTTGCCTGGGAGAAAGCCAGCTGGACTGGCGTTTCAGAAACTCTGCTTGCCCCCCCTTCCTCCCCCGCCGCCTGCACTTGGTTTCCTTTAACACCAAATGATCCCGCTTTACAAGCGGAATTGAGTTAATTCCCCATTTATACCCAGCACTGCACACACTCACACATGCACACACATGTTCAGTCATGCTTTCCAGCCCACTCTGTTGAGCCCAGTAAGGCCTAACTTACAGCTCTTCTGAGGCCCTGCAGCTGTGATGCTGCCCCTCCTTCCTGACCTATAGCCCCTGTGCCCACTGCCCTGCCAATGCTCTTCACCCTTGCCCTACAGCCTCCTTGACCAGTTCAGTCCTGGACTCCTATCCAGCTCTGCCAGTGCTTTTCACCTCCATCCCAACTGCCTCTGTGCCCAGCTCCACCAGTGCCCCTTAATCCAGAGCCTCTTCCTCCCCTGTTATTTTATCCTTTCTCCTCTAGCTCTGTTGGTGCCTTTGAGGTCCAGCCGCTGCTCTAGTGTATGCCACACTGCCTCTGGAGTGAACCCCAGAATGCCACTGAGAAATTAGCTTTGCCCACTTGCTCCCAAGTCTGCAAACAAGGCCATGTAGACAGGTTGGGGGAGGGCATGCCTGAGAGGCCTGGAGTGTGCCCCATAGCACAAGGCTCGGGTTCTTCAGCAAGGTAGAGGTGGGGCATGCGCTTGGGATGGCTCACCAGAGCCACCTACTGTGGCCACATTGGGACTTAGGCATGAGTGGGGGAAGAGGGGAGCCAGTCACTTGGCTGCACTCCTGGGCTTGGTCCACAAGCCATACAGAGAAGCCTCAGCCTCGCGTCTCCTTCCCACTGCTCTTCCAGTGCACATTTTGTCTCGATCTTCAGCTGGCCCAGCTCCCCCCACCTCTTCCTCCTGATCCACCCTGTGCCTAGGGAGGAGGGTGGCTGTTACAGCCAGGCTGTGTGATCCACTTAGGAAGCTTGGATACCTGGTCCTGCTTGGTGACCTCTGTGGAGAGCGTGAAGCTGTGAACAGAGAGATCTGAAGGATTACTAGGCTGTTGCCCTCTGGGGAACACCACTGCTACAGTTCCTTGGCTGACCCGGTGGGCTCTCCACCAACCTTTCCTCATCCACATTAAAACTGCCCCTCCCTTCCTTCTCTGTGTCTCTGATTTAATCCTTTTAAAATTTGTTTTCCATCACTCATGCCGTGAAAGCTCATTTGCAGCCTGATGTGAGCCATGCTCCCTGCTCTCCTGTCCTTCAGAGGCACAAGTGACATTTAGAAGCTATTGAAGATTTAAATGGTCTTTTCTCCTTCTCTTCCCCTCTGCCCACACAGTCTCATTGGGGTGGGACTGGGCTGGACCTGGAGGGCATCATTAGGTGCAAGTCTATTCCTCTCATCTTGGGAGTTAATAGCTCTCGGTTTGTTACCTGATGCTCCATCCAGATACACCTGATGCTTTTAAATAGTGGGTATGTCTGCCTGTGTCCTTGCAGTGGGAAGTCCTTAGCTAGTGGGCAGATGTCACATCAGGTATGTTCTTACCTGGCTGGCCTTGGACCCAACTCAGCATAAACTATCTGTTATAGAGGGAATTAGAGGCTGGGTCAGAGCTCTACTGTAAATATAGCTTCCCCCGAGGGAAAAGCTGTGCTCAGGAGAATGCTCAGGTGGGGATTTGTATACTATTGTTAAGTTTGCCATAAAGCAGAGGCGTCTCTGGGGACACTGTGAGTGTGAACACATGGGGTACGTCTGCCCTGCAGAATTAACCTGGTTTAGCCAGGCCTGGCTGCGAGCAGCCTGCTCTCCACCCCCCTCCAGGTACTTCATTGCTAGTGCTGTGTTCACCCAAGTGTTTGCTACTGTGGGTGTGCAACACTTCATACCACAGTAGGCTGCACTTCATCAGGACACTTTCCTAGAGGGTTGTGGGAGAACTCTGTTCTGGGTATGTGCAGGGAATTGTGGAAAGGCACTGGAAGCCTGTCAGCGCTTGAATGAGTTAGCTTACTTGCTCCTTCATCACCAGCCTGAGTGAAGCAACACCCGATCTGTAGCCTGCATCCCAGCAGAGCCTAAAGCAAGAGGTGCTGTGTGTGGATGGGGGTAGGGGTAGGGGCGACGTTTGAGTAAGAGGCCAGCAGTAAGGACAGACCTAATCCCAGCATACGTGCTGTGGGCTGAGACTGGAGCACAGCCCATTTGCAGTTATGGAAATAACAATGAAGTCAGCCATGGAGATGCATGAGTTCAGGGGGAAGCAGCAAGGGCCAGCTGAGCACATAAGAGGCCAAAAATCATGTTTTCTGGAGTGGGAATGCTCTGTGTAGGGGGACTTGGAGCGTGTATTGAGTTACCAACAGGGTTCCAGGGAGACGGCTCTTCGAATCCCAAACTCTGGCAGTAACTCCTTCCCAAAGAGGTTTTCATTGTGGGGTGGGCTTCCTGATACTGTCCAGGTGACCCTACATCCAGCCCTCCCTGCCTGCTTCTAAAAGCTACCCTTCCACACTCACCTAAATACCACCCCCCAAAGCCACAGGGGTGCAGGGCAACCTAAAACCTACGTTTCAGTCCTTACAGTGAGCCATCAGCCTCGCACTTGTGCTTCTCATGAGCATGCGGTGATTTCTTTTCAGTAGCTTAGCTAGGCTTCTGGTGCATGGGGGCTGGGGTGTCCTTCAAGAGAAGCAACTAAAGGACAAGCTGGAGTAATTGAACTAATTTCCACCAGGGGGTGGTGTGGGATTGCCTCCTACCAGAGCCACCTCAGGTCCCACCTCATCCATCTCCCTCAGCTAAGCACCGTTTTGCTCAGCCTGATCTCTAGGACTCAACGTAGGCGAGTTGTAAATGACTCGAGAAGAACGGAATGAAGAAGGCTGTGATGGATGAGAGCGTGCATGTGCGAGGAGATTACTGCTGCCTCCGTCAGATGAGATGGCCCCCAGGATGGAGGGGCCTCAGCTGGACTCTCGTTCTTATATTCTGCGTAGCTCCGTTGCTCTGTATCTCCTGTTGCCTTGCAGAAGATGCTTCAGAGGTCAACTGAGTGGTCATTTTCCCAGCAGGAGGCCAATTACGCCAAATACTGGCTCAGCCGTATGAGGGCTGTTACTGCAGCACGCGTGTGCCCTAATCGCATCCCAATTGCCAGTGTTCGCAGGCCTTGAAATGGGGTCGATTAGGAGGCCCGGGGAGTCTGCGGCTTGCCAGCGTGCAGTGCTTTGGAGGAGCCATTTTTTAGGGGCAGGCAAGAGAGAAATGGCGTTTCGTACTTGCTGTAGGACAGCAAGGCTGCGCAGAACTGCACCCATCACAGAAGCACTTCTGCAGGGTGCAGGCAAATCTCTTGGCTGGGCTGCTCCCCAGGGCTGCTGTGATGGTGCTTTGGGGTGGAGGGTTAAGGCTGAGTGGGGAAGAGGCCACGCTGTCCTCAGGCCTGGCTGCAGTCACATCAGCAGTCCTGCTCTGGTGGGCAGGATTAATCAGCTGAGCAACATTACATTCACATGTGTGAGTGTTGGCAAGACTAGGAGCCTCCTGGATCCCCAAAGGCAGCAAATCCCTGCTGCTCTACATGTTACAGAGCCTTTTGGTTTAGGGTCTAGAGAGCAGCAGGCAGCTCTGGGGTGGTTCGAGCAAGTCTGTGTTCATACATACACCCCAGCGTGCTATTGTCACAGGCCTGGCAGGCTCGCACTCCTCAGGGGTGGGAGGAAGCAAGCCAGGCATGCTTTTCTACCAACCACGTGAAAGCAGGAGCAGGCCTGTTGGTGTGTCGGCGACCTCCCAGCAAGGGAACTATCAGTTGTTCACCCTTGCTGATTTATTGATCTCTAACCTTTCCCATTTGAGGAGCAGACCTGCCTCCCCACCTCACCTTCCCTCCTCGTTCTGAGCCCCTGGTCTCCATCCTGCCTCCCTGCCCCTCCTGTCAGGTCTGTTCAATCCTCCAGGCAGGGACTTTTCCTGGGTTGCAGAGTCTACTCACTTGAGGGCTGATTCTTGAAGATGCTTAGCACTGTTCATCTCACTGCTTTTGTGGGAACTGAGGGGACAGGGCTATTCCCCTCTGTTTCCTCTTAAACTTTTCTCTTTGTCTTTAGCTTGCAGTTTGGTTTAGCTCATTTTGAAGCAATTGGGGATGCTGTGTTCTGAAGGACACTATATAAAAATAAATAGCATGGTTGAACAGTAGTGAAAGCGCTGGCTTAATGGGTCTTGAAGGTTGTATCTGATACTCAGCCTGTGGGAAAGGACAG